GCCGGCTGAGCAGGCGGCTTTGTCAGGGCTCCTTCTCCTGCAACTGCCAGACACAGAAGAGGTTGCGGCGGGGGGCCAAGCAGGAGAGAGCACTCCGGACCACCAGACCCGGACCCCTGCCTGGGTCTGACCACCCAGAAACGCTGCCCCAGCCCGCAGGCCCCACGGGGTCCTGTCCCCTGGGGACCGGCTAGAATCCCCTGGAAGCTGGGGCAAGGGGGCGGCACGCCTCGAGCTCTACTTGTTTGTATAGCTCCAGCTTCTCCTCCCGGAACAACAGACAGCGGTGAGTAGGCTGGTGTCCGGAAAGGGAGGCGCGAGCCCCCGGTGCCTGGAATCTGCTGGGTGGTGGGCTGGAGGACGTAGCACCTGCGCTGTGATCCGAAGAGGCGCATTTCCAGCCGGGCGGTGGGTGGGGGTGTCGTTGCCACCACTGCCGTGCCCCAGCATCCTGGAGTCCAGAGTGATGATTTTGGTTTGCTCAGAGTGGGTGATTTTGGACAGAATTTCCTGGGATATTTATAGGACAGATGTCCTCTAGGTGTCCCTGCCCTCACCCCACTCTTCACATCTCCTAAATGGGTGAGAAGGAGGGAGAGAGCATGCTTCCCAGCACCGCCTGAGGTGGCAGGATCACAGGGCGGAGTCAGGTTGTCTTTTTCGATAGCCTTTATTTTATTTTAGAACAGTTTCAGGTTCTCAGAGAAACTGAGGGGAAGGAGTGAGATTTCCCACCCTCCCCCACCATCAACATCCCCCTCAGACAGGACATTGACCACAACTGAGAGACCTAGACTCTCACATTGTAGTCGCCCGGAGTCCTTAGTTCTCATCAAGTTTCTCATCAAGTTTCCTTGCTCACATTCTGTGGGTTTGGACAAATCCGGATGCTACATGGCCGTTATTACAGAGTCCTGTGGGGTTTCACTACCCTGAATCCTCTGAGCTCTGCTTCTCGGTTCCAACCCCCAGACCTTGGCAACCACTGATTTCTTTACTGTCTCCATAGTTATTCCAGAATGTCATCGAGTTGGAATCATAAGGTGTTATAGTTCCCATATTGACTTCTTTCACTTAGTAATATGCATTTAACGTTCTGAGATTATTTCTCTCTCCTGCCTGGCCCCCCTCAATGCTACAATACCAATGTTACCCCCAATGTCACCTCTAGTCAGGGAAAAAATAAATTCACAGTGAGAGGGATGCCTTGGTATTGCAGGATACATAACAGAAAAGCAATGTGCCGATGAATGTGGGTGAGTGGGATCTTTTTTTGGCTGTAGGGTGTGCATGCCCGTGTTGGGGCAGGTTGCCCTGGCAGACAAGAGACTGTCCCACCTGATCTATAGATTTTTAGGATGATGGGCATGCAGCTTCCTGCTTGAATCATTGATGGAAGAGCAAACATGTACCATGTCTATGTGCATACAGATTCAGTTTTGTAAACTGACTTTTTGACATGAATAAAGATCCCAGCTCAGAGAGGCTCTCACAGGAGGTTACAGTGTGTGGAGAATTTAAAATGTGTGGATAATTTAAAATGTGAACTCCTCTGTGGCTTTTCATTCCTGGCCTCAGACTGGCCAGTGGTGTGGGGGCAGGGAATTGCTAGAGGCTTGCTGGCTGAGGGTCTCTCATGGAGTAGAACTTCGGCTGGGCTAGTGGGTCTCAGTTTCTTTATCTGAGAAATGGGTCTTAAATGCTCAGGATCATGACAGCTTATGCTGGGACCCCAAAGGAGATTACCAGGTACCCTCAGAGGGGGCCTGGCCCTATTCTGGGTGCTGGGAACAGACTCACACACATCTAAGGGCTCACAGCAGGATGTGTCACCTGCTATGGAGAGCACTCTGCAGGGGGGCTGTGTTGGGAAGGCCACAGCTCTTTCCTTCTCCCTCTCCACCCCACCCCTGCCCCATTCCTGGCCAGTGCCTTCGTTTCTCAGTTGTCAGGTGGGGGCTTGCCCAAGGAGAGAGAACCTGAGGGCTCACTTTGTGGCCATCTGACTAAAGTAGCCACCTGGCTTCAATGAACCCTTACCCACGTTGGGTGTTAGTCCCGAAGCTTTGGGCCAGCTTTCAGGGAATCTGAGGATCCCCAAGGATTTTGGGCTTTATGTGGAATCTTCAGATACAGTGTTTTTTTTTTTTTAAGGTTTTTATTTATTTATACAGAACTGGGGTTCAGGCATGGTGAGAGGATTCACCAGAGACAGAGTGGGGAGCAGAACAGGCAGATTGGTGAGGGGAGCAGCGGGCAGATCAGGAGAGGTCTGCCACACCATGAGGATCACTTCCTGGGCACTGAAGCAGCTGCGGCTGGCTGGTAGTGCTGCGCTCTAACCCGTTGCACCACCAGGGAGGACCCAGATAGGGATGGTTCTGACAGGTGGCTATAGCTCAGAATTCCCAGTCCACCTCAGGTCTGCACCTCTGACCTCACATACAACTGTTTCTCTCTTTCCTTCCCTCCAGGCATCCTCTCCCCCCTCCCTCCACCCCTTTCCATATTGTTCCAGAAGGGACTTATTCAGCTGCAGGTGTGCAGGATAAGATGGGCAGTTGAACACTAAGTAGGAGCTGGTTGTATTTGTAAGATGGAACTTGTAGGCATGGAGCATCAGAGACCTATGACTGAGTTCTGGACTTGAACCAACTCTTTTGAGAGCCTGGCTGGTGGGTGGGTCCGCTTGGGGAGACAGTCCTCACCTGTGTTGTTCAAGTTTAGCTAGTTTTTTTTTTTTTTAAAGATTTATTCATTTATTCATACAGAACTGAGGTACAGAGATGCGGAGGGTGAGAGGATTCATCAGGGACAGAGTGGGGAGCAGAACAGGCAGATCAACGAAGTAAACTGCTGAGGGGAGCAGCGGGCAGGTCAGGAGTGGTCTGCCTCACCATGTGGATCTCCTCTGGGGCAGGCAGGAATCTAACTTATGCGGAAGTGGCTTAAGCTTCTTAGTGCAGTGCTTTAACCCGCTGTGCCACCAGGGAGGCCCAAGTTTAGCTAGTTTAATACAAACCCCGCTTATAGTGCCCTTGTGAGTACCTGGTGATGGGGACATTAGGACACAGACCTGACGAGCCCACACAGAGGGTCTGAGGAATGAGAAGTCTTAAATGACCTCGACAGGGCTCAAGGACTGGACCAGCTTTTCTGGTCGTGGGATATGTACTGGTGAAGCCGGGGAGGACATGAGCTTCCCTCCAACTTGCAGGCTGTGTTCCCACTGGGAGCCGGAGCACCCCAGGTGCCCTGAGAGCAGCTCTGTCCCTAAGGGCCAGTCACTTCAGGAACAGGAAGAGCAAATACCTTCGGGTGCCAGTTCTGCTTACTAGGGGGTAAAATTGTGCCTTGAGTAACAGTGCTTTTAGACAGATTCTGGTTTACTCTCTAGAGATCCACCAGAGATACACTCTTGAACAGATAAATGAGAAAAACGTCTGTTTTCTGGCACTTCATTTTAGTAATTGCTAACCTGGCTCCTCTGCGTAGTCATCTCAGAATATTCCAACTGGACTGTGCTGGACAGGTGGAACTTTTTGTTTGACTGCATCTTCTACTAAGCTGGTGTTCTAAAATAAATGCCACGTGGTGCGGGTGTGGGGTGATTTTCTACTTTGTGTGCTTGGAACATTTGAGTTGGAAGAATCCCCAGTTGCTGCAGCTGATCCGTGACACAGGCTGGGGTATCTGGTCAGTAGGCTATGACTTTCAATGACCCTCTTGGGGAGGATGGCTACTGCCCTCTTGTCCAGCTGGGGTCAGGGACGCCTGTGTATGCGTGACCTTTCCTGTTTCCATGTGTCCACACAGAGAGAACTGCAGAAAACCTGGAGAACCTTGCTGAACCTGCAGAGACTTCCCCTCCCCTACCTGGGTCAGGCAGGTGCCATCTAAGTCTAAATCTTTGGTGGCAAAAAGGCTTATGTTCTGATCTTCTCTGTGAATTTTTAAAGACCAATTTCCAAAAATAAATTGTCTGAAAAAAGCACTGCTGCTTGAATAACTAATTGTGGGGTAGTGTCTCTGGAACCTGTGGCTGACTCAAAGCTTGTCCTTGCTTCCCCGTGCGGGGGAAGGACCGACCTCTTTGTCTTCTTGGTTGTGCAAAGGACATGTGTGCATACTACTGTAAATCCAGTTTCCTCATACACTGGGACCCATGCTGGAGCCCTCTGTGGCAAGGTTAACGTTGACTGTGTATCAGACACACCCCACAAAGTGCACTCAGGCTTCTGCTCCCCACGGTCTTGTCAGCGCTGCCAGGGTACCCTGTGCACCTGTGGCCCTAGCCTTCCTATCTCCTTCTCTTCGGCCTGCAGCAAGCGTGAGCCTTGAGAAGCTAAGTCAGCACCGCACTAAGTTCTAGATCACCTCTGGCTAGTCGGGAACTGAGAGTCAGGACCTCCGAGGTAAAGACAGGTCCAAAGGACTGCAGATACGGTGGGGTGGCCTCTGATGTGGACCCCCATGCAGAGAGGGACTGGATGCTCTGATTCAGGCCTTGGGTTGGACCACAGTTATCCAAGGAATGCCCAGTCGTCCTGTGTCTCTGAAGAGGGGGGCTGGTCACCCCTTTTTGTCTTATGCTCCCTATTTACATGGTGATTTTTTTCTTATAGATTTCAAGAACTAAAAGCCCCAGACACAGCACTTTCCTTTAGTGTCGACATGTTGGCTTTCTTTTAAAGATGAGCAGTTACTTCCACTCGGGCCTAGGGCCAATGCCTCGGTAATTACCCTTCCTGATGGAAAACTCTTAAAATGTTACTTCATCCGAGGGTTTGAGGCCAACCATGCTTCTCCAATATATTGCCAAAGGCTCCTTTTGGCTGAGATGACTAAAGTACCAAATAGTTTTAAAGTGATTCTGGTTTTTTGTTGTTGTTGTTAATGAAAGAAGTAAAGTGAGCAGATTATTCACCACTCACACTGAACATTTGACATGCATTTTCCAAGGGCCCCTGTAGCATGGTGTTGAGGTAACAGTGCTCCACAGTGCTCAAAACCACATGTGGCCATATACACCCTCCCAGCTCCCTGATCACTCGTGATGGTTAGCTTCAAATAGTGCCCAGGTCTAGAAAATATTTTTTCAAGTAACTTTCTGTGTTTGGGCAAAATGTGATTTCAGTTTAAAGCAACTTTTTGCAGAAGTACTCCGCTTCCCTTCCCCCACCTTTTTTGGACTTGACCACGTTTTCCCTTGGACATGTTGAGGTAATTAAGTAAAAATTAAAGTTTCTCCATAGACAGATACCTTTACCGGTGTCCTGGACCCTC